GAAGAATTGGATATTGGCTTAGGAATATCAGAGAGTGCCTGGAAAAATCACTGTCCAACCAGCAACCAACTTGTCTTCTGGCTGTGATGCAGCTGAACAAGTGATGTGGAGAACTGTGCATGGTGTTAAAGGCTAGAGACTGTAGCTGTTGTGAAGTTAGAGAGAGGCAAGTGTCCACAGCAGGGAGGGATGAAGTGCTGCTCCATGCAGGAATGAAGGCCAGGCAGCTGAGAGGGGGAGAGAGAGGCTCCTGGGGAGACTGCACCTCCTCCAGGGAAAAGATGGATTGGGAAGGTACTTAACCCTTCGTGTGCTCTCATCCCTCGCCCAGGAAAGCGTGGAGGGGAAGGAGGGTAGAGATGAAGAGGAGGTCACAAACGCACTCCTCCCGATCTGGAAATGGGAGAGACAAAAACCAAAAACAAACACAAACAAACTCTTAAATAAAGGAACATTCTTAAAACCATGGAGATGACATGAAGCAAGAATGATCTGGAGAACTTGGCTTAGCTTGAGTGGACTTAATGCTTCAAAAACACTTCATGCTCGTTCTAATGTTGATGTCCCAGAGGTGCAGAATTCCATGGAGAACAAAACATATTCCCCACAATGCCAAATTAACTGACTGGACAGAACAAACCAATGTCCAAACCAAGTGCCCAAAGGACCTGTTCAAAGCACTGTCATGTTTTGTACCCATTGCCACCCACAAAGGAATTCTGACCTTTCCTGCTGCCAGAACTGCCTCAATATCAACATGACAATATCATGTACCATGATCCACATTTCAGATTCGTTTAACTGAAGGTGGGAAAAAACATAGCATAAAACCATGTACCATGATCCACATTTCAGATTCATTTAACTGAAGGTAGGAAAAAACATAGCATAAAAATTTCTGCACTGATTCCCTGGTGCACTCAATTGTCTCTTTGGAATGTGCATGGAACATTTGTCCTTCTGGTGCACTCAATTGTCTCTTTGGAATATGCATGGAACATTTGTGCTCCCTCATGCCAAAGGAAACTTCCAAACATATTTTAAAGGGCTTAATCATTTACCTGGAAGGAAATACAAGACAGTGCTAAAAATCCTGTCCCATATTGCTGCCCACAGGGCAAACTAAGGAGAGGTAAGAAAAATTAACTGAAGTGTGTTTGGGTCACTTTGGTACAGTGTGAACACCTCAGTGCAAAATCCTGGTGGCTAACTGGGAATTCCCTCTCCACTGTTAGCACATCACACAGGAACATGCTAAACCAGAAGAATCTGTTTATCTGACAGATCAAACCCAGTTCCAAACCCTGGATAAGGAACTGGTGAAAATTTACTTTCATCTTTCTTTTACCTTTGCCAGGTGGTTCTGAGGTTCCACAAACTGGCACCTGCCTGGATATCTCAAGAAATCCATGCACTTCACCTACCTTCTTGGAATGCTATTTTACCCTCCTCCCTGGTTTTCAAACAGCCACACACTGATATTTAGTATTGATACTGCAGTTAATAAAACAGCTGAGCAGAAGCCAAAAGCTCCAGGTTTTCAAACAGCCACACACTGATATTTGGTATTGATACTGCAGTTAATAAAACAGTTGAGCAGAAGCCAAAAGCTCCAATTATATATTCCAAAACCACCAGAGCTTCTACTGTTCAAACCACCAGGTCCTGCAGACATGTTAATACAGCAAACATGAACAATCACAGAATCATCAAGGCTGGATAAGACCTCTGAGGATCATCAAGTCCAACCTGTACTAACTGCCCCAGTTCTGACTCCCTGTGGTTATCTCCCCCTGAGGCAGAGCTGAGCAGCTTTGGTGAGCAAGCACAGCTGGAAGAGACAGGAAAGCTGACCACGAGCAGAAAAGCAGAAGCCCCAGCAGTGTACTCACATGTGGAGGGAAGGGCTGCAGCCTCGTGATGCTCTCCTCTGGGTAGGTGACCTCCCCCATGGGCAGGTAGGGCTTCTGCCCCGAGCCAGTCTCGTACATGGACATGGGCCTGCTGCCCCGGGCCGACGGGCGCCGCTTTAGGGAGGAGGTGGTGCTGGGGTCTGGGTACTCAGAGCCACTTTGGACCTGATAGATATTGGTTGTGGCTTGTCTTCTGAGGTTGGTATTCTCACTCTGCAGCGTTTGAAGCTGAAAGAAACGTTTAGCAGTGGGACTGTGTTGGCCGACAGCAAGTGGCAAAAGCAAACTGACCATGCAACACACACTTGGAGCTCTTCTAGCAAATCCAGTTCCTAAGAGCTGGAGGTTTATTTCTGTATTTCTGACTTGACTTGCTTAGTATAAACATAGAAACATCTATGTTGCAGATGGGGAAATCATTTTGGTGCTGATTTCCAGCACTGCTGGGATGAAAGCTAAGTTACATGTTAAAATTGGCTGTTGTAGGTCAAGACATACAATCCATTCCTTCTGCCTGCTGTGCTGGCACAGGAGCTGTGGGATAGTGAGGTTGTGGGGAAGAACTGCCAACATAACAGTTTTCCAAGCAAAGCGATCCATTTCAGCAGCCAATATGAGAATTTTGAGGACTTTAAGGTAAGGCCCATGAAATCTGACAATGCCACAACTACAGCACAGACACCAGAGGCAGCACAAAGGAACCAGAGCTTGTTCTGCAAAGCAAGGAGAGGGTTTAGCTTAGGAAAAATCAAGTTACTGCTGTCTAAGAAACCAACAAGAAAGCGTTTTCAAGCTTTTTATTGGCGTGTATTTGATGGATGGTAAAAATGCACCAATTCTGCTGCATTTTGTGGAGGTACTGGAGTAAGTTTGCTATATAAACACATCAGAAAGCAAAGCTGCAGTGAGAAAACTGCAGCACAGCACAGATCTCCCTTCTACTCCACACCATAAATACACTGAAGCCTCATTAATTCATAGGCCCTAAAGACTTTCTGAACCTTGAATAGACTAAAGCTGTTTAAAGAAACTCAACAGAAGTGAAAAGTTAATTCAGTTGATTCAAGAGAAATGCTCAACAAGTCCAAGCTGTTGAAACACCAAGGAAACACCCTGAGATCTCCCAATATTCACCATCCCAACAGAGCTGAGCACCACAGAACAGAACAGAACATTGGCACTTAACAGATACTGAACCTGCTGAATGAGCTTGGCCTCAGGTGCACAGAGCTGAACAGTCTCATCACCCCCTGAACTGGGGGACAGTGAGTTCACCCCCACAGGCACAGTCTCACCAACTCCCTCTGCATGGAGAGAGCTCTGCAGCACACACTGCCACTCCTGCAGGGTTGTTAATTGCTTGGAAAACAGGATTTTGAACACCAGCTAAAGGGATTAACCTGAGGAAGCAGCCAGCCCTTTCTAGGCCAGCGTGTCAGGCAGGAGAGTGAACTCAGTACAGACACAAATCCTCCTTTACCCCACGACAATCTCTGTTTGACACAACACTGCAAAGCAGCCAACAAATTGTCACGCTGTTTGTGTAAGGATTAAGAGGTTTGGCTGCCAAACTGAGATTTTTGAGCTTTAAGTACAGGATTTTAGCCTAAATATTCAGCTTTCTGTCTACACATAGTACCTGATGTTGTAAATGAGACACCTCCCTTATCCCCATCCAGACAAAACCCACACTGCAGGTTGAAGGCAGCACCTGAGTTTCCCACTGCATCCCTTTAGGTGCTGTTTCCCATGGATTTAAACACAAACAAACAAATTAATCTTGGCCTCCTGGTATACAAGAACTTGGCATTTCACACTTCAGATTGTTTTCTGCTGCCAAACTGGGTTGAGATCTTAATTCCCCTTCATTCCAGTTAGGTTTATTGATAGAAAAAAACACAACTGGAAAAGTTGGAAGCACATTACAGAGAGATGTGCACACACAAGATGTTTGCTGGCACTCACTTCCTCACTGATAAAAACTGCTTATCTTAAAGCCAGACAGCAAAATCAAGCAAGACTTGCAACATCTGTCTTGTCACTTGGAAAAATTTATGTGAGAATTCGACACAAGTCAAATCATCCTCATGGTTTGTTGGATCAGATCATCATCAGCTCCACAAGAAACAACATTCAAGGCATGTGCTGCATGTTGATATGTATAGTCTCATATCTCATTCCAAAGCAGCTCCTCTTCACAGTGAGTTTTCTCCCTCTCCTGATCCTTTACTGCATCCTCAGCTCCAGCAGGTTCACTCTGCTAACTTCAGACACCCCAAGGGTTGAGAAGGTTTCTCTGCTGTGCCTGTTACCTTTTTCTGCATGATCCTCAGCTCATCACTCAGGTTAATGTTCACTTTCATTAACTGCTGAATCTTCACCTCAGAAGCCACCAGTGCATTTTTCACTTGCAGATACTCTTGAGCTGTCACTGGTCCATCTGACAAGTCTGAGTCCAGGCTCTGGACACAGGGAGAGAAAAAGACACCGTTGAGAAAGAAGGAAACGAGACCATGAGATTTCAACAGCTTCTTATGTACTTACTTCAAAGGAATCACAGTTCAAATTCAGCCTAAATTAATAAGATTCATGAATTAGAATCACTTTAGGCCACTATAGAAGAAATCTGCTGTCAATCATAGAATCAACAGGGCTGGAAAAGATCTCCAAGACTTTGAAAATTCCTTAGAATATTCATTTTCTGACCATTTATGCCTGTTAAATCCCTTCACAAGGGGCAGGGCTGACTGCAGATGGCCTTTATGAAGAACTTTTGGGGGTGTGTCAGTGTGTCCAGCTTACCTTCTGCCTATTTGATTTAGCTGCATTGGTTTCCAGGTCTGTATCTTCATCTGAAGCAACACTGTCATAGTCAGGCTGGTCATTGTCCTGACTCTCACTGCTGTGCTGATTGCTGATGGATTTGAGGATCAGTTCCACGTTTTCTGCAGATCAAAACATTGACAAACAGGTTAGGAAGTTGGGAGAAGAAATGGAAGTTCATACATAGAAGGAATGAATTTAGACCCACCTAAGAGGAATGGATTGTTGCTGTTCTAAACCTCAAAGTGTGATGGGTTTGTCTTTTAATTCTTAGCAGTGATACACCAGTGTATATCTCCCTCCTCTGGCAGTGACCAAACCCCTGAAGACTTGCCCACAGAAGGGCTGACAGCAGCTCACTCACCTTTGGAGCCAGTGAGGGGATTTCCCTGTTGCCTTCGCTTGGCATCACTTAAGATGTCTATAACCAGAGTAGCAAACTCATGGGCATTAAACCGAGCCAGTTTCTGCCTCCCCTGAATTCCAGAGTGGTGCAGGGAAAGAAAAGCACATGGTGAGTCAGATGAACAGCAAAGCTCTTAGGGAAAACTGAGACTACAGCACTTAGTGACTATTCAGTGACATCTGTTACAAAATGTATGATTTAAAGGGGAAATGAGAAATTATTTTAACCTCTTTCCAAGCAGATACAACTCTTCCACAGCAGTGAAGTACAGCAAAGCAGAACACTTTGCCTAATAAATAACTTAATATTCTAGCAATAACAACAACAACAATAAATAATTAATACTTGGCCTACTCAATAGAAGCAATTTCACAGTATTTAAGAAGGTTTCATACCTGGTTTCTGGTTGAGGAATACTCAGGATTTACAGGCAGGAAAGGGACCACTGTGGTCTCTGTCACAAGGGTGCTGTGGTTCTGAGTAGCAAGCCAAACTGCTCCAGAGAAAAACAAAACCAGGGAATAACCTTCCTGTGCTACTTGACAGTGTTTCTTGTCAAAGAATAAAAGCTCCCAATGTCAAACACAAACACAACCAGTGCAAGCGAAGGTTTGGTTCCAGAGGGTTCTACACTGTGTGACATATGTTTTTCCAATTATCATCCCCTTCATAGATTTTATTCATAGAATCAACTGGGTTGGAAAAACTTCCAAGATCATCCAGTCCAACCCTCCTGTGGTCACTAGACCATGGCACTAAGTGCCACATCCAGTCTCAGCTTGAAAACCTCCAGGGATGGTGAATCCACCACCTCCCTGGGCAGCACATTCCAATGTCTGAGCACTCTCTCTGTAAAAAATCTCTTCCTGATATCCAGCCTAACCCTCCCCTGGCAGAGCTTGAGTCTGTGCCTTCTTGTCCTGCTGCTGGTTGCCTGGGAGAAGAGACCAACCCCCACCTGACTCCAACCTCCTGTCAGGGAGTTGCAGAGGGTGAGAAGGTCTCCCCTGAGCCTCCTCTTCTCCAGGCTGAACACCCCCAGCTCCCTCAGCCTCTCCTCATGGCACTTGTGCTCAGTCCCTTCACCAGCCTCGTTGCTTTTCTCTGGACCTGCTCCAGCCCCTCAATGTCCCTCCTGAGCTGAGGGGCCCAGAACTGAGCACAGGATTCAAGGTGTGGCCTCACCAGTGTCGAGTCCAGGGGCAGAATCCCCTCCTGGTCCTACTGACCACACTATTCTGACCCAGGCCAGGATGGCATTGGCCTTCTTGGCCACCTGAGCACACTGCTGGCTCATGTTCAGCTCCCTTTCCATCCAAAGTCCTAGGTCCCTTTCTGCCTGGTGCTCTCCAGCCACTCTGTCCCCCAGCCTGGAGCTCTGCATAGCATTGGGATGGCTAAAGTGCAGGACCAGCACTTGGCCTTGTTAAACCTCATCCTGCTGGAATCAGCCCATCTCTCCAGCCTATCCAGGTCCCTCTACAGAGCCCTCCTGCCTTCCAGCAGATTCACACTCCCCCTCCACTTCGTGCCATCTGCAAACTTGCTGATGGTGCACTCAATCAATCAGACAATGGAAGACAAAGACACTCCCCCCAGCAGTAGCTGCTGAGTGCAGAAGCACTTCAGCAGAACCTGGGCCTGGATTAGCATCTTGTGTGCAATGTACCCATCAGGTTTATTTGGTTTCATTCACCTGCATCTGTTTCCCTCCTGTCAACTTCATCATACACATCCATGGCAAGTTCTTCAAACAAGTGGTTGCTTAGCTAGAACAAAGTAGAAGACAATAATTACAGCCTGAAAAGAAATGAAACCCACTAAGATCTCTAGAATAGAGAAAATACAAGAGCACAACTCTGCTCTCTCTGCTGCTTTCCAGCCTATCCACCTGCTCCTTCCTCAGCCTGCACAGGGAGTTAACCCATGGAGAGACATGTATGACCATCTGGTTTCCAGGTACAGACACAGCAGATCTGTTCTACACTTCTTTACTGGTTGATGGGATTTTTCTCTCCTATCTGACCACAAAAAGACTCTCTGGGGAGAAGCAGAGCACCTATGGGAATGAGGTACCAAATGCCACTACAGATATGGGTTTAAGTGACAGTGAAGGCTCCCAAAACATGTGTGCTCACTGTTCCTGCGGTGGATGGTTCAAGAGGTATTTGTGTTAGGAAGGCTGAAAGATGAAGTGCAGAGTTTGCCACGTCTAGCAAAGGAGTTTTACTTACAGACTGAAGCTTCTTCTTGGCTGCTTTTGCCAGTTCTGACACATCCAGACTGCTGGGAAAATCAGAGGTGATCATTACATCCACAGCATTCTGTGGCTTCAACACAACTTCTGCACTTTGATAACTGAGTGATTACAATGTCACTTCTACCTGAAACCCCTTGATAATTTAACATCACTTTTCACACACTGATGTGATTAATATTGCTAATGCAACCTAGCAATGAACATATCCTTGAGCTATTCCTACACAGCAGCCTTAAATTTCAAGCAGAAGACTCCCCCAAATCCCATGGAATATATGAATAACCCAATTTTTACCCATGCGATTTTTATTTTATGAAGGTTTTTCATGGAAGTTTTGCAAGCAGTAGGTTGGACAGTGGTTTACTTACAGCCTCCTTGTTCCCAATTGCACAGCAAGGAAAGAGAAACAGGAACTTGTAATTCATACTTGGTATGATTTGTACATGTAAGAGTTCAGTGATTGTAACCAAAAGTTAGGAGCACTCACATATCAAAGGGATAAATATTTTCAGGTAAAAATACACCTTTCTTGCCATAGTTTCAAAAATCAGGAAACTACTCAATTGGTGCTTAAATTATTTAAAACTTTCCCAGGAATCCCCTTCTATCATTTCCTGATTCTGTTTAAATACCAATATTTTCTCCAGGAAAAAAAAAAAAAAAAAGTTGCCAAGATTAATAAAGGCACATCTAAAAGGTTGGAATGGCAACAAGATTAAAAAGTGTTTCAGAAAGGAAAGGAAATGATGATCAGGTGTTTGATGTCTCAGGGCTGAGAAGGACTCAGCAGCTTACCTGTCTGCCATCTGAGGTATCACAAAGTGCTGCCCAGTTTTGTGCTCTGCAGTTGGAAACAGATTGCACTTTAACAGGTTGGTATTGAACTATCATTTTCCAGACTATAAGCAACAGGCAAACACAGAATCATTTCTGCATGGAATTGCTCAGCTCTGAACTACAGGAAAGCAGCAAGGTTGAAATGAAGGCTCCACCACCATTTCCTGGTGTTATCAAAGATTCTAACTAAGGCTTACTAACTGCATAAAAATGCCACTGAAACGAGAAAATGAAGCGCTAAACCAGATGCTTTTATGGCACCTAATGGCTAAAAAGTTTGACGTGTGCTTGTGGTCAAAAGGAAACCACTCAGCTGCTCTGCATGTCAGTGAGAAGAAACTCCTTGGAAGAGTTCCTGCAGTTTATAGAGAACTTTTTTTTATGGCAAAGCAGAAAGTAACTCAATTTTTAACCTAGACATCTTGAAAACCCTGCAGTTTTATCTGCATTTAAATGCATCACCACTAATCTTAAATGTTAGTGCTTCCTGTATCATTTATATAACAGTAGAGTATTTGAAATGGGTATAAAAGTGTCTGACACTAACACAAACATGAAATACCACAGTGTGAACTGTCTGTAACTAACTGGCAGATCTCAGGGTGCAGTTTGTAGTGCTCACCTGGTTTCCTGCCGCAGAGATAGAAAGCCAACCTGTCTGTGAGCTCATACTGGATCTCCACCAGCCTCTCTGCCAGTTCATGGTGTCCTCCTTGCCTGGTCACACACAAAGGGACACCAGGAGTCAGTGTGGGACACACAAAATTATTTCCAGGAGAGAAATGTATCTAGGCAGGTGCCTCATGTGATGTATGAGCATCAGTTAAGGTTTGTCAGAGACTCCTACCTTGCATAGTCAACTGGAGTTTTTCCATTGGAATCTTGTGTTCCAGGATCAGCACCATAAACAGCTAATAGCTCTGCCTGTAGGGTCTGTCCTGCCTTAGCAGCAACATGCAGTGGGGTGTTCCCCTTCTCCTACAAAGGGCAAAGAAAAGAGCCACTTAATGAACAGGCCTGAGGATGAGACTGAACTATAACATTTATCAGGGGAAATGAGGATAAATATTATGAACTGTAATTGACTGTTTAGCAAAACAATGAGAGAAGTGTTCCTACAGGATGGAAGAAGTTGGCTTGAGCTCCCAAGGAGAGCAGACGCAAACAGGTCTCCAGATTCCCTGTCCTCACACTGGAATGGAGTTGCTGAAAAAGAAGCAGAATTCATAGAATCAGAGAATCAACCGAGTTGGAAAAGACCTCCAAGATCATCTAGTCCAACCCTACCCTGGTTACTAGACCATGGCACTAAGTGCCACATCCAGTCTCAGCTTGAAAACCTCCAGAGATGGTGAATCCGCCACCTCCCTGGGCAGCACATTCCAATGCCTGAGCACTCTCTCTGTAAAAAATCTCTTCCTAACACCCAACCTAGCCCTCCCCTGGCTCCAGCACCTCAATATCCTCCTGAGCTGAGGGACCCAGAACTGAGCATAGGATTCAAGGTGTGGCCTCACCAGCACCGAGTGCAGGGCCAGAATCACCTCCCTGGTCCTGCTGACCACACCGTTCTTGACCCAGGCCAGGATGCCATTCTTGGCAATGTATTTAATACAGCAACAACAACTGGGATTCAGCAGTTGTTTTTCAGCCAGCTTACCTTGACCATGACCCCCAGGCCAATGACAAATATTCTTCTCCAAATCAACCCAAACTTGTGCCTCTCAACCATCACCTTCAGTAACCACAGGTATTACCAAAGTGGTTCAAACTGAAGTCAAGTCCCTATTTCTTGACATAACAGTGGTAAAATACAGCAATAACAAAGTCAAAAGCAGCTAAGTGAACTCAGTCAGATCTCCCTGTGCTGTCACAGGCAGCTGCAGCCTCTGCAGCTCCAGGAAACCACACTGACCTTGCTGAGGTCTTTGGCAGTGACACTGTCGTCCTCCCGGCACGGCAAACGGTGTACAAACGCCAACATCTGATACTTAGCCCTGATGAACTCTGCTTTGTTGGGGCTGCAAGGAGAAACCCAGGGAGAGAAAGGAAATATTAGTGCTTTCAGAGTAATCCAGGTGCTCTAGGAAAAGGAAAATTCACTACAGGTTGTACTAGATCTTTGCATGTCGCTAGTGGCAAATGAGACATGGAAAAATATACTCATTAAAAACCTGTTACAAACATCAAAGCCTCTGCAGGCTCTAGCACGTGGTGTGTGTTCCTGAAAAGAAATATAGGCCTCAAAACTATGCCAAGTGAAGATCTGTAGTGCCTGTATGCAGCTATTTACATCTGAAAGTGAAGCAGCACAGGTAGGGGCAGAAATCTCTCAAGTTTTGTTTAATTCACCACCCAAACTCAATCTTTCAGCAGCATTCAGATAACTGCAGCACGTGGCGTGAGAATTAAGAGTCTTGTGATTCAAAGGCTATTCACTATTCAGAGCTAGGAAACAATTCAGGTAATTCCAGCATTTCATCCCCATTTTTGCAATCAAGTTTTAAATATTAATCACTGAAAACTGAAGACAAAAAACAACAGAGTGAACAAATAACTCGTTCAGTTTTGTTCTGTTCCAGCAGCAAACACACAGAGGCTCCCGTGGCTGCCTTGGTGCTGTGTCAGTGCTGACTGGAACAATCCCACTGGTGACTTTGCTACTCACTGCACTTTGTCCTGGGGACTGGCCTTGCGGCGCCCGCTCATCACGGAGGCAGGATCCAGCAGGGAGTGCTCCCAGATGGAATTAGCACCATTGTTGTACAGCGTCTCCACCATCTGAAACACAAAGCACACACAGGCACTGAAAGGCACTTTGCTGCTTGCTGCACTGCTCTCATTATTGTCAAGCAGGTATCAAGCCAACAGATTCCAGGTGCATCCCAGTGGGATATCAGAACTGGGCATGTGCTTAGGATGTGGAATGTAGGAAGAATCTCCTGAAAATTCTTTGCTCTCCCAAGAGCAGCTCTACTGCAATATATTGAAGGATACAGCCCCAAGCTGCACCCGGGGAGGTTCAGGAGGAATTTCTCCATGGAAAGGGCTGTCAGGCATTGGAATGTGCTGCCCAGGGAGATGGTGGAGTCACCATCCCTGGAGGTGTTTGAGGAACAACTGGACATGGCACTCAGTGCTCTGCTCTAGGTGACCAGGTGGTGATGGGTCACAGGTTGGACTTGATGGTCTGGGTCCAACCTCAGTGATTCTGGGACTTAGTGAAAATTTAGGGTGAAGCAGATCTGTTGCACAAGTGTGAAAGAAAAGCTGAGGTGACCCTCCAAAAACAAAGGGATCACAGTAAAAAGGCAAAGACACACCTGGTTTTTGTGCTCCATCAAAAACAGGAGAACCCAAAGAAGACTGAATTAGAAAAGGAAAGCTTCAAAGGCCCAGTCCCTCTCCAACAAAAACTCAGTGATTTAAGGGCCAGAAAGGATCAGCATTTGCAGCCTTCATGAGGGAAGACACAGTGTTTGTACCTGCAGCAGTGTGGGGGGCCATGGGGTGTGCTTCAGGTGCCTCACTTGGGAGATGTGCCTGCCCAGGCTCCGGTGGACACTGCAGCACTCATCACAGATCAGGATCCCTCTGTTTATGGATGCCCAGCAAGGATCTGGAAAAGAATCCATTCATTACCACACAGGAAGCAACATAACCTTGGGTTTCCAACACAGACTCTAAAACGAGGAGCTCTGCCCTCTAACCTTTCCTGCCCAGCCACTGTGTGAGCCTCTAAGTGTTCCAGCCCTGCTGGGCCTCTGGGAACCACCAATCCTCACACTCTCAGGGAATGTAGGAGCCCCAGGACAGTGAAAGAAACTTGGGAAAGGCCTCACTGTTTGCAGCTCTTTCTGCAAAAATATTTTCCTTCCTAAGCACAACAGGACACTGAATCCATCACCTTGTTGAAGTGCTTACATGTTATTTAGTGGAGTCTCACACTGTTCCTAATAACAGTGCCTAACCTGCTCTTTGGAAAGGCTCAAGCTGGGGTTTTTGGAAAAGAAAACTGCCAAAAAATATCTTTTTTTATGCTGTAAGAACACCAAGTCTGTACACACCAAGAGGTAACAGCACTGAGGCTTTTTCACCTCCTGCTCAGCTGCAGTATATATTAGTATAATGTTTTCCAATTTCCACTTTAAATAATAGACACACTCAAGAATTACATAGCTCAAAAAAAAAAAAAAAGCAAGATATATATGTCAAGCTAAAAGCACAGTAAAATCCCAAACTGTCAAGCAAAATAACTTCATCTCTCACCAGATCCAAACTGAACCATTTATGAGCAACCCAGAGAGACAATTGCTGGGAGGTGAAGCAACAAATACTACACACAATTATTATGTAGCTTCAAACACCGAAAGGATAAAATCAAGTAGGAATTCCATCAGGTTGAAGCAGTATCTGCCCAACAGGACACCAAACAGGCCCCTGGGCTGCTCCAGGCTCAGTCTCCAGAAGTGCCACGTGAAACTCAACGTGTCAGAGAACTGCAGGAACAGCAACTCCAGGTCCAGCACATCCCAGGAGAACAGAAAAGGAATTCAGGATCTCTTTTGTTTTGGAAAAGCCTCAATTCCAAAGGCAGAGATGAGACAGAGCCCAGTGTGATCCCAGTGTCTGCTGGGAGCACCTGGGAGTGCTGTCAGGACACATCTGAACCACTGTGCATCATGGAAACGTCTCCTCTGACCCATGCACCGACCTGAGTGAACCCCTGAGAGATGAGATGTGATCACAGCTGTGGTTTCTGAGCAGAGTTGATGTTGTGTGTGTGCTGAAGGCAATGCAGCAAACCTGCTCAGCCCATGGGCCATGAGGATAGGAGCAGCGTTCACCACCAAAAACCATCACAGCCCAGACCCAAACTGGAGCAGATGGTTTGGAAAAAACACAACCCTAACTTCATATAAAAAACAAATTAACAACAAGCACACAGCCTCCTCATTAAATCACTTCAACAACTCTCACTTCCAAGGAGATTAGCCATGGAAAAAGGCATACCTGTACTAAGCTAACCACCCAGGGTGGAACAGCTTTCCAGACTGATGAGCCTCATCCCTTCTCATTAGAGACCACCTTGTCACACACTGATGATCCCTCTGGAGCCTTCCCTGCTCCTGTCTGCTCCCAGGCTGCTTGGGAGCATTGTGGACTAACCCTCAGCATTGGGGATTTTTCCTCACATCCACCTCAACACTCAGCTCAAGTGGCCTCAAACAACAGAAGTTCACCCCTATAATGTCAGACACTGCTTATTTGGTCTTTTCAGAGCAGAAAAAATGGGTTTAAAGCTCTGCTGAAGATTAAGAGCTGAGGCCTTGCTTGTAATTTCTGCTTGTACATAGCACTGAAAGGAAATCACATAGCTGAGAGTTTGTGTTTATGTAGAGTCTGTCTGGTGGGATGCAAAATAAAAAAAAAGGCAAGAAAAGTAAGTAAGGAAAGCCAACAGATGATTCAGGAAGGGAACTGAGCACACTGGGCCAGGGCTGGACAGAGGGCATGGTAGAGAGCACTGGCCACAAAGCAGAGGGAAGTGAAGCACTACAACCTGCTGGCTGCATCTCTAACCTCACTTCAATCCAGGCATGGCATAGGAGCCTGTTCTTGCTCCCAAAAACAGATGGGGAAGGGAGAGGGAGAAGGAACACAGTGTTGGGCAGTCTGGAGAAACACAGAGTGCTGTCAGGTTATAGGAAAATGGTCTTTCAGGTTTAAATTTGATGTAACAAAGAGCCTGTACTGGGATTGATTTGAATCATTTTTAAGAGACCCAGTTATGGACACAGTCAGAATATGCTGAAGCCTGGACAAAAACACACACAATCCCAGAATCACTGAGGTTGGAAAAGACCTCTAAGATCATCAAGTCCAACCTGTGACCCATCACCACCTTGTCAACTGGACCAGAGCACTGAGTGCCATGTCCTGTTATTCCTTGAACACCCCCAGGGATAGTGACTCCCTGGGGCATCTCCTTCCAATGCCTGACAGCCCTTTCCATGGAGAAATTCCTCCTGATGTCCAACCTGACCCTCCCCTGGCACAGCCTGAGGCCATTTCCTCTTGTCCTGTTGTTCCCTGGGAGCAGAGCCTGACCCCACCTGGCTGCACCTCCTGGCAGGGAGCTGTAGAGTGAGAAGGTTCCCCCTGAGATTCCAGGCTGAGCCCTCACAGCTCCCTCAGCTGCTCCCTGTGCTCCAGCCCCTTCCCCAGCTCCATTCCCATCTCTGGATATCTCCAGCCCCTCAATGTCTCTTGCAGTGAGGGCCCAGACTTGGACATAGCACTGAAGGTGCCCCAGCAGTGCCAGCACAGAGGGACAGTCACTGCCCTGGTCCTGCTGCCATCTGGCTCTGACAGAGAACACACGAGGGAAGGAACTGCAGTCGGGGGAGTTTGCTGTCAGGAACCTGCAGAGTGATGCAAAACAGGAAGTGTGAGCTGAAGACAGGCCTGAGCTGTGGGTTTGAGCACTGAACTCCTGCCTGGGGATAGGAAGTGCAGCAGAAAACACCCCTAAGATCACCTCGTGGGAAAGAGACCTCTCATATCCTGCCGTGGAAACAAAGGGAATATTGATGAAGTTGCAGGGGAAGCACTAATTACCACAGGTGTCAGGCACTTGTGTCAGCAGAGGCTGCTGAGCTCAGGGCTCCTCACACCACACACAGCTCCTCAGCACCCCTGCCAGACCCTCTGGTTAGGTTAAAGGAGGGTTGGATTTACTTCATTCACTAAAAGATTAATTAGGATTTCTTTATGTACATGAGTAAGTCTTAGAGTTTCTAGCAAATAATTAAACACCTGACAATGCTCCAATGTCATGGCACAGGACCCTGGCCTGGGACACTCCCAGGGATGGAGCAGCCACAGCTGCTCTGGGCAACCTGTGCCAGTGCCTCAGCACCTCACAGGGAGGAATTCCTTGCATAAGAAATTAGCTCGAGGAGTTAACTTGGGATGTTTATTATTTTATTTCTTTTAAACCTAAGCCACATCTAATAGATGTTGCTCTCCCCACTCCCACATCCTATTTTCTGGCCATTCAGGTGTTATCCACATCCCAGTATTTTCATTCCTTTCAGCATGTCCATAACTCATTAACTCCATTGGAAGAACCAGCACAGAACACAAACAGCAACAACCAGAGTGCAGGAAAACACAACGAACACACACAGCTGATAAACAGCTTAAGAAGGACAGTTTTAGATGCACGAGCAGCAGAACCACAGATGGTCAGGAGATGCAATTCCCTCTCGGAAGACAAGATCTGTTTCCACAGCTCCCAAACCATGTGGAGCGTGAGACGCAGCGTGGAGCAGACGCTGCTCACTGACAGGGTCTGACCTGTGTCTGCCACACAACCTTCCCTGCAAGTCTGGGACACCTACACAGGACAAGGCCCAGTTTAACTCCCTCCTAGACCCTGGAATAAGGGAAGGGATGGATGACTCCAAAGCCAGCCCCATTCTCACCTTCCCAACTCCCCCAAAACACTCACTGTCCTTTTTGGCAACACACTTCCAACCCACATCTCTCCTCCCACCTTTTAGCTCTTTTCTCCCCACTTTTAGCTGTATGACTGGAAGTGCCTTTAACTCATCTTTCCTCCCTTCTAATCTGGGCAGCTCCAGGTCCCCTCACCTCCAGCTGGATGCCCACAGGATGCTCCCTGCAGCTCTAGCCTGGTAGAAGCTCAGTGCTGCTAGTGCAGTAACACCAAATTACACCCCATCCCTGGCAGTGCCCCAGCCCAGGTTGGATAGGGCTAGTACAAGTGTCCCTACCCATGACAGGGGGTGGCACTGGATGCTCCATAGGGTCCTTTCCCACCTAGCCGTGCTGGGAGCTGTGCACACCTGTCCTCCAGCAGTGACTGCAGACCCACGGGGAGCACTGACACCCCAAGGCAAGGGACACCCCCAGAATGGGAACATCCTCGGGGCACTGACTCCCCTGGGGCCAGAGACATGCCCAGAGCTGGGATACCCCTGGAGCTATGACACCCCTGGAGATGTGACACCCCCGGAGATGTGACACCCCCAGAGCTATGACACCCCCGGAGATGTGACACCCCCGGAGATGTGACACCCCCAGAGC